GGCTGGCGGCGGCGGGCGCGTCTGTGGCGCCTCCATGTCTCCGGCGCGAGCCGGCCAGGCTGACGGGCAGCAGCCTCAGTGACGAGAGCGCGCGCAGCGGCCCCGCCGTGTGTATGCGGGGGAGCCGCGCTTACCTGCTGCCGCCGCCGCCGCGCTCAATGCCGCAGTTCGCGGGGACGCTGATGCTGGTGGGACGGGGGCTTTGGGGGGGGGGGGTCTGCGCGCGTCTCTCTGGCCGTCACCGCCGCCTCCTGCACGAGCATCCAGTGCGCGCACGCGCCGGGGTACGTGCATGCGCGGTGCGGGCAGGGCGCGCCTGCCGAGTGGGGGCAGGGGGACTTGCTCATTCTCGCGGGCGGGTCCCCCCTCCCTCGCGGGCCGCGCTGTGCGAGACGAGGGGAGGCGCTCGCGCGCCGCGGCGACTGTGAGGCTCGCGCGGCCGCGAGGCGGTGACGTCATCCCGAAGCGGGCGCCAAAAGGAGGAGGCGTTTTCTCGGGAACCCGCCCAGCCACGCTTGGGTGCGCGAGCTTGGCGCCCGCCCGCCTCACGGAGTCGTCCCGCAGCGCGGCAGCGAGCTGGGTTGGCTGCCGAGGTGCCGCGGGGTAACGGTCGCCGCGCGGCCTGGGTGTGGGTCCGGCAGGGAAGTGGGGCCGCCTCGCGCCCATATCCGCAGCGCCGGGCCGAGGTGATGCCACTCCCCGCGGGCCCGGCAGGTGGAGGAGGATGAGCGTCGTGTGCCACCTCCTGCGGGGGCAGTTGTAGCGGGGCCCCCAGCTGCCCCCCCGCTCCTGTAACAGCGGTGTACGTGGGCCGAAGGGGGTGCGGTGGCCCAGCTTTCTCCGGCCGGGCCTGACTGTAGCGGGGGGGAGGGCGAGGGCGAAGGAAGCCTGCGGGGCAGTAACAGAACTAGCAGGGGAGGCTGATCATTAGCCAAGTGCCCCTTGGCCGTGCGCCTGTGTGATGGCGACAAGGCCAAAACTGGGTCAGCGCCCACAAACCACCTGCCTGATAGGTAAGAGGAACACGAGCAATGCCCCTGTGGATATATTTTTCTCACTATAACACCTGCCCTATCATCCATCTCTCCCCCAGAGCAGAGGAAGGGGCCTGGAATCACATCACTGCTGAGAACATCACTTTCAATTGCTTCAATTGGGTCGCTGGAACAATTTGTATAATGAGGGTGCTGAGAGCCATTGAGCCAAACTATAAACAGTGTATATGATGAAAACCACTTCAAGCCAGCCCCCTATTCCAGCACCTATGCTAGGGTTTCAATTTTTGTAAGAATAATATGTCCACTGAACAACCAGGACAATTTATTTCATTACCAATCTTGTGTTCTCTTCTGTTTCAAAATGAAAAATGAGCTCTTAAAATACCAGCCAGATGGCAAGATGTTTGGTGAAATAAATTGCGGGTAAATATAAATTTAAAATGTTACAAAATAATGCCTAAATCTTTTAGAATAGCACAAAAGTAGAAATTGGTTTGGAAAAGATTAAAGCAGAATCTTGATGGCTACATAGCTGCTGACTTAGGAACCATTTTTGACAAAGAATGCCAGAGAATATTGCAATAAAAACTCAGTAGAAAAATCAGCTCATACTGTGGGAGAAACAAAGTGACTACGTTCATAATTGCTGGCCCTTATCCTGGTGTTTCACTCCTGATGTTTTTATGTAATGATATATATATTTCTGTTAATTTTCTTTCTACCTGAGCACATCTTTTAACTGTTAAAGCCTGTTGTCCGTCAGTTGCAGATACAATAGAAATAACTCCTCATTGTGCCACTGGATACCAAAGGTTGCCAACCTTAGGATTTAACAGTAATATGGGTAGGTTATAACCAAGAAGTAGTGCTTTAACTATACTGAACTAATATTGTTATGAGCTGATTTTCTGGAAAACACAAATTCTGAGTTTCCTCATGCATGAAGGGAGCATCTCTTAAACATCTACAAAGACATCTCATTTTCTTCCTTCAAATTCCCCCTTAAAACGTCTTTACTATCATACCTAGAACAATCTTGACAACAGATAAGCAGCTGGTATGCTGAAACCACTGACTGTTGTGCTGACCCATAATGTCTCACTGTTTCTTAGTGCTCCTTCTAGCTGCTATATCCACCTGTTGTTTTGTTTTAGATTTTAAGTGCTTTACTGCAGTAGCAAGCTTTGATGGGTTTGTAAAGTGGATAGAATAGTGGGGACCTGTCTATTATGCACTCCTAGATACTACTACTGCCATACAAATAAGTAGAGTCCTTTAAAGAACTTCAGTGGAGAAAAAACACAATTGCACAACTCAGTGACACAGCAGGTGTTGCAATTTCTTTTTCTCCACCTTTTCTTTGTGTTATGTCCTATGTGTTTGAATGTCCCCCTAGTGGTAACTCTTGTAGTACTACTTAATACAGGAAATACATGCATACTACCCAGAATAGTTTGCAGAAACTGGGTACGTCTACACAGCAAAAAGAAGAAGAAAAAACAACCCCACAGAGCCTGGTTTAAAGCCTGTGTCAGCTGACTCAGGTTGACACTATGTGGCTAAAAATAGCAGGGTAAACATTCCAGAGGGAGCCTGTACTTGGAGACCCCTCCCTCACTGGGACTCTGAACCAGGCTCCACCCCAAACCCAAATGTCTGCACTGTTAGTTTTACCCCACAGCACAAGCCCATGTCATTTGACACAGGCTCTGGGACTAGTTCCTGTGGGTTTTTTTTTTTTTTTTGCAGTGTAGATGTGCCATTGTGTGTTTAAGGAATGAAAAATAAAGTATGGTTCATTGTTAATATAAAACCTTAAGCTTAATGTTTTCTTATACACAAAATTCTGACTGTACAATGTGATACAAAAGTTGGCAATGATGTGGATGTGACCCTGAGCACCTCATATTCACACCCTATACACTGTTGTAATAATTTGTACACAATATTCGTTGAGGTATCATTTGAAAACTAATAATTCACTGTTCATTAATATTATTGTGGGATATATGTACATGGTGTGTATTAAGAGTTATGAATATATGCTGAAAAATTATTAAAGTGTATTTAAACTAGGCATGTCAGAAAGTTAGTGAACTAGACAAAGGAATGTGTTTGCTTCTCTGACCAGCTCATCAGGCAAAGACAATCAAGGTCCATTTTTATATATTAGGTAAGCAAAGCTAACAAGTAGGGAATGAGACAGCCTGGCATCTACACCCAGCAGAAGAGAGAAGCTTGATCTGGTTTTTACTTTTCAGAGACTACATTTCAAAGGTTTACTGATCTATAAAGACAGGGGTGCTGAACCTCAAATGATAAGCAATAGACTCAACTGATTCTGTATATTGCTGTATTATAAAAGTGTTTAGAGTGAGGTCTTTTCTGAAAGTTAATGTCACACTGGTGATTAATATTGTGAAATTTATGTATTATTATAATATAAGAAAATATGGATATTTGATGTGTTTTCAAGTCTGTCACCAAACAGGAAGAAACAAGTTCTTTCTCAGACAGGAGAGCAGGCAGCTATTTACCTGTCTCCTAGGTAAATTAAGTATGGTGGAATCAAAACAACGGAAGCCCTATTTACATACAGGGGGGATGGGGAAAAAAGCATAAGGTCATCTTGCCTCTTGGAACAAAGTCATTGAACTTTAGAAGATGGCGGGGAGGGATAGCTCAGTGGTTTGAGCATTGGCCTGCTAAACCCAGGGTTGTGAGTTCAATCCTTGAGGGGGCCATTTAGGGAACTGGGATAAAAATCTGTCTGGGGATTGGTCCTGCTTTGAGCAGGGGGTTGGACTAGATGATCTCCTGAGGTCCCTTCCAACCCTGATATTCTATGATTAAGATATAAGCAAAGACAGAAGCAGTCTTTGGCATCCATCAATAGGTTGCTGAACCAAGGCTGACTGCATAGCACACAGACTCTCAGGGTGTGACCTGCATGTTTGTTGAGGACTGTAAGCATCCCAGGCAGAGAGCTACAGTAGCAAACCTGGGTGCCTCACAATGCTTTGCTACTGTAGGTCTCTGCAGTGTGAGCTACTCAGGGTTACAGAGTAGGTGACACAAGCTCTTACTGGTCTGGAGTGCACCCCAACCCCATGACAGAGCAAACAGACAAAGACTTGCTGATTTCTACCTGTTGATGCTAGAGCACTGTGTGATTGTTAGTGATGTAGCTGAATAAAAACAAGTATGTGCCTATGAGCAACATGACCTAAGGTTTTGGGTTACTTAAATTTAGCAGCACCATATAATAAAACAAATTACATGGGAACTCAACCAAGCATTAATAAACAGATTAGCTTAAATTGTTAGTGGGAGACTTACTTATTTCCCTGTTGAAACTAGAAGAAAAAGTTTCTGACTGTAGTCAGTCTTTAAAGTAATGATTTGCAAATTGTGAGTTTAGGACTAAAGATTTTACTTCCCAATTCACTTTTGAAATATGATTAAGCAGTAGAGATGGTCAACAAATAGGGCAAATGTATGACACAGCAAAACCAAATGTTTTTGCAAAAAGCCTAATGTATAAAATACTCCGACAGTGATCCCACATAAAATAAACGAAAAGGAAGAAAAAAGGATGGAAGTAAAAAATGGCATGGGGAAAGCATACATTTAAAATCAATTTTACATGATTTGCTAAAGAGTTTACAAATTTTGGGGATGATCAAATGGTACTTCTTTTAATAAGTGAAAATAGCAGCTATTCAGTAGAAATGTATTTGTGCATTAAGACAGTCTTAATTTAGCTTGCAATGCATATGGAGAAGGCACTGTGGTATCACTTATGAGGAAGATAAGGAGAGACTGATTGGCTTTGACTCTAGAACTAGAAGAATCATGTACAAAAGAAAAAGTCTCCATCCATAATTTTTGGTGTATGAAAATTCCACAACTATATAGCTGAAAATGTACCTTAGTTACTGACCACAACACCTTGATGGTCATTTTAAGGTTTTGTGTCAGCAGTATCTGCGCACACCCCACTAGGAATGTAACACTGGGCATTGATCTTACTTATATTTATAATATTGAATAATGGAAGTCATTAGACCTTGGAAATGATAGCTCAGGGGTTGGCAACCTTTCAGAAGTGGTGTGCCGAGTCTTCATTTATTCACTCTAATTTAAGGTTTTGTGTGTCAGTAATACATTTTAACATTTTTAGATGTCTCTTTCTATAAGTCTATAATATAACTAAACTATTGTTGTATGTGAAGTAAATAAGGTTTTTAAAATGTTTAAGAAGCTTAATTTAAAATTAAAATGCAGAGCCCCCCAGACCGGTGGCCAGGACCCAGGCAGTGTGAGCGACATTGAAAATCAGCTTGCGTGCCGCCTTTGGCACACGTGCCATAGGTTGCCTACCCCTGTGATAGCTTATCAATATCACCATATAACGATCTTCAGAAGATATTGGTGAAGGGATTTGAGAAGACATTATTCTATCCCAAGTTTAACGAATGGGTGGCTGAGTTTTATGGCTTAAGGAGGCTTTTCAACTGTACATAGTAAGATTTATTTCTGGTGACCAGGACTAGATTAAGATACCAGACAAAATCCTCAATTGGTATAAATCAGTGTAATGGCAATGAAATATCTGACCCAGCTGATGTCAAGCACCATGGAAGTATCTGAACTGTTTGTACAAGGGCATAAGGTCTATATGACAGGAAACATAAATCTGTGGAGACTCTCCATCCAAGTGATCAACTCCCTTCTAGTGGACTTTCAGGGTCTGATTTTCATTCACTCCTGATTTATGCTGACATAACTCCATTTATTTCAAAGGACTCTCTCATAATTTACACCAGGGTGAGAGAAGAATCAGGCCCCTCAGAATTTTTTGAAGTAATTCCAATGGTCAAGGAAACAGTCGGTACCAACCAGCAGGAAGAGAAGTGTTCAGGCACCGATGGTACTCTGCAATAGTACTATTACCTCTGGAAAAAATGTCCTTGGAAATTCAGACTACATACCACAAACTGGAACAAGAAATGAATCCACAAAGCCTCAGAGACATCACCCAATCTGTACTCCTAAATCTCCTACCCAAATGGAGATAAACGGTTAATCCAGTTAAAAACATATCTGTACTTACAGGACCTAATCTGAATTTGTTCACAAGGTCAAAGAAGTCTACTTTGTTATAATAATAATATAATAAAAGCACTTAATTTTAAAACAATTGTTAACTATTTTAAATCTAAGTATAAGACTATTTTGCATATCTTATATAAAATGTTAACAATCTGGTTGTTTTCTCTGTACCTTTGTGTATCTGTGTGTTTCCTCATATGTAATAGAGCAGAGGAGTGTAACAGTAATAGCATATAGTGACACATTCTATATGCTCACACAACTCCCATCAAAATGAATGTAAATTGTACTTGCATACCCTATTAAAAATTAATAGAAGTTGCAGCTGCATATCTGAGGGCAGAATTTAGCCCACTACATATTAAAGTAAATATTTAATAGTCAACCTAATAAAAATGTAATATAACAATGTCAATGCAAGTTAATTTTATTATGCAAATCTTAATCTTTTCATAGTCTGACCTGTGTGCATTTAAATGTGCACCTTTAGTGTTGCAGAAACATACTGTAAGTTTTTGCATTTACAGTAGTTTTCTTGGATCAGATGCTTCTCTCTACTGTGCAGAATAAGCAAAAGAATAAGAAGATAAACACAAGGGGCCCAAAGTTAATTAAGGGGGGGAGGGTAGCAAAACTTGTTCAGCATACTCTCCCATGACAAACTGCATTTAGATTTCCATGGGATGTAAGTGAATTTACTAGGGCAGAGGGGGATGGAGTCAGGGAGCAGATGCTTTGTGCATGATGCTCCCCTAGCAACCTGGCAGACTTCCCAGTTGAAATCTGCGTGGGAGTTAATGATGTGTCTTGCAGCATTAACTCCCCTCTGTAGTTTCTGGAATCCTTAGAGAAGAGGATAGCGTGAAGACACCCTGGGAGGGCTGGGCTGCAATATGGAGGGAATGACAGCACAGCCCTTGATCGAGCTATTCTACCAGGAAGAAGTGGGAGGCCTAGGAGTGGAGTAGAGTTAAAATGCCTCTGTGGATTCCCAAAATTCTACAGGATTGGAGGATCCTTAAGCTGTGCATTATTAAGGGGCTGTGTACCCTACTGTGTCTACAGTGTAGCCAAAATCCTTTGTCCCAGAGACCTTGTTCACTCTGGCCCTAAATTACTATACTGCACTAACATTGTTTAAGTAGTTTTTACTTTAAGTAGTTCTCTTAGCAGAGGTTCATGTACGCTTTGTGCCACAGATACACAAGGTTGTATGTGTATCTAAGATTGTGGGACAGGATACATTCTATTGTATTCTTAATGGTTCCCAATGACTCATTTTTGATTACCAGCTCACCCTTTTGGAACATTTCCTAGCAAAGTTGCCATATCTAGCTGTTTGCATACTCATGTCTTTTCTCCCTGTCCGTTCTTTGCCCTGTTCTCGTGGGTTGTTTTTTTTAAACTCGTTGATTTTGTTTTTGCATTCCATTTTCACTCTTCTTTTCTCTGGCACACCCATTGTTCGTCTCCTCCTTTCTTGCTCTTTCACTCTCAGTTCTCTTGGTCTACATCCAGTCCTTGCCTCCCTTCCAATCCCAATTACCTCTTCCCACAGTGATCTTCTCTCTTCTGTCTCCCCACTTCCAGTGTTGGCATCCCTCTGCTCTCTCTTCACTGTTTCGGTGCTGTTCCCCTGCCCCCCCCCCCAGTTCTGGGCTCCCCATTGCTTCCTTGCCCATTCCCGCTGCACATTCCCTCATGCTCTTTCTTCACCCCATGCTAAGCAATGTGCTCCCTGCCTGTTGCCATAGAGACTGTAGGGAGCACCACTGTATAGCATCACCCATGGGAAGGGCGGAAGGGATGGCAATGAGTAGGAGCAGCAGTTCCCAGGAGAAAACTGAGGTTTGGTGCTCCACATGCTGGGACTCTTTGTCCTAACTAAAGAGGGTATTACAACATACAGATTACACATTCAACCTTAACTTTGGTATTTCTTGAGTGGTTCCGATTGCTTTATTAGAGGGGTACTTTTGCATGTGATAAATAGTTAATATTTTTAAACACCGAAAATATAAAGTAATAAGTAAGAATTATTATTTCTATGCTGAGTTCCCTTTTTTGTGCAAATAATTAAGTGAATGCACTGTATAAAGAGGCTGGCCCCCTTTTATGGCTGGTTTATCGCTATGAACAGGTTCCTTAAGCACAGGGTCAGATATATTTTTGATTTACAGAGCACACATGCCATATATCCCTATGAGACCAGTTGTCAGTTTTTAGTCCATTTGCAATTCAGTTTCAAGACAGATTTTTTCAGTACGTAGAGTTCATTTGCTCCTTGGTCAAACATTTACTTGATGGTCTTAGTCTAGTAGTTTGATTAGGTTTAGAGCAGATTTCTTGGATAGTGTATGTGTTAGGGGTAGGCGTAAGGAGGGTGAGCCGTTTAGTTCTGGTTCAAGGTAGATTTGTAGCTAGAAAACCATAGTGAGGAATCTTGCAATGCCCATGTATGAAATCCTTATTTTTAGTTACAAAATGTGTGTACTTTTGACGTTGCACAATGTTTTTCCCATGGACTGAATCTAATTGAACATGCCAAAATGTAAACAAGTGTCATTTACCGTAAGCTAATTATTTTGTTTAAAAAACAAGTGAAAACAGCTTCTGGTCTGTGACATTCATGCAGAAGATATTGCCTCCAAAGTGAGCATATTCCATGACCGAGAAATCATGTTACTATATTGCTATAGCCGTCATCCCCCTTTCCCAATTCTTTGTTAACTGCACCGTAGCCCATGTCTAAAATTAGACTGTACAGTCTTTATGGCAGGAACAGTGGGCCAGAGTCTCCATTGCCTTATACTTTCATTTACACCTGTGCAGGCAAATACAAAGTGCTTTAATTCTGATTGTATAGTTTCTTACCCACAGGTGTAAATGGCTAAATAAGATGTAAGGATGTCAATACCCCTGGTGGAGTCACCTGCAAGGACTGAACCCAAGTCCACTGAATCTAAACACTTGAATCCATATGGTTTACACTAAAGAACAAGGGCCCTTAACTAGGAATCAAGGTCCAGTAGCAGACTTCTGAACCTCACAAACTAGTGAGGAATAAAGAACCACACTGGGTTAAGGTGTATTATAAAAGTCTGCAAAGTATAAGACCCTGTGTCTTTTTTATTTGTTCTATGAAGAACCTAGCATACTTTTGGGTGCTACAGTTGTTTCCTGCAACAACTGATGCAAAGCATGATTTCCTCTCTCTGAAAGCATATGGTTTAATAACCAGGGAATCACTGATTAAAGAAAATACTGAAACCAAGGGCCTAACAACAGCAACTTTGTATATACATCTAAATTTCCATAATTACAAAGCATTAGTATCAGCCACTGTTTGTGCATGACTACAAACAAACAAAGAGTAGAATAAAGTAGGAAATCACTCTCCTCCCTTCCCCTGCTTCACTTCCTCATCATTATAAAGTCAACAACAGTTCAGAGAGAGGCATGAATTTGCAGAGATTACAGGAATTCCTCTGGAGATTTTTTCCCTAATGTCAATATATTTAAGGAGGCTTCTCTAAGTAGTTGAAGAGAGTGTTTGGAGAAGCATATGTTAAAGACAGATGGATCACTTCACTGCCAAGTTTTGTGCAGCTCCATGTGTGACATTTATAAACTTTAATGAGAGAGTTTGCCTATTTACAAATAACTATGAACTTCAGCTTAGGGGAAAAAAGCATGATTTAGTGCTCGTGAAAGGCATGCTTCCCATACACCCTGCCATGCCAGCGGGACACAGTCCTGATCTGATGGGAAACTTCCTCTGATGGGAACTTCCTTCAGGGGTAATAGGAGTAATTCATGACAATGCAATTTTCAAGTCTCACTGCTGAGTCTGACAGTACATGCAAAGTGTGGTGGTCATTTTGTGATGTCAGAGCTGGAATGAGATCCACCACACTCCTCTCATATAGCGGGCACCAAACATCCATTAGATGGTGTAACTGTGCCTCAGTGGGTCACAACTGAGAATACCAAATTCAGGACAAACTGCTGAGAAATAGGGCGGACACACCCCAAAACTGGTGGTTATTCTCCCATAAGATATACCAAACCAGCAACACAAGTAAACTTCTGTTTCACCACACTGGCTAACAAGAAATCAGAACAGCGGTTTCCTTAGGCATTCCAGTCCTTGTATCACCACCAAAAACTCTGAACTTAATGATGAGTGGTTATTTAAAACCAATTTAATCAAACAAAAGGTTCTTCTGATCCCAAAGGACCAGCTACACACCCAGGTCAATATATAACTCAGATATTACCCAATAATCATGATGTTGCCAATGCTTTAGTATCTAAAATCTAAAGGTTTATTTATACAAAGAAAGAAAGGTGAGAGTTAAAATTGGTAAAGGAATCAAATACATACAATAATTGTAAAGTTTTTGGTTCAGGCTTGTAGCAGTGATGGAATAAACTGTTGGCTTGTTAAGTCTCTGGTTGCTGCCAAATCATTGGAAGGTCCTCAGTCCATTGGTTAGAATGCTCCCATTAGTATAAATCCATAATCCAGAGGTTTGAGCAGGAAAGAGGCAAAATGGAGATGTTTCCAGCACCTCATCTCAAGTGAAGGGAATCCCATTGTTCTCACTTTGCAAACTTACAGGTAAAAGATGGATTTTGGAGTCACATGGGCAAGTCACAGATCCATGCATAATTTCGCTTAGGGCTTGTCTACACTGGCAATTTACAGCGCTGCAACATTCTCACTCAGGGGTGTGAAAAAACACCCCTGTGCGCAGCAAGTTTCAGTGCTGTAAAGCGCAAGTGTAGACAGTGAACCAGCGCTGGGAGCTATGCCCCTCATGGAGGTGGGTTTTTTAGGGCACTGGGAGGGCTCTCTCCCAGTGCTCTGCTGTGACCACACAAGCCAATTAAAGAGCTGCTGTGGCAGTGCTTTCGCTGCCAGTGTAGACTAGCCCTTAGTCATATCAGGAAAGTCCATTACCTGTAGACAGGCATCTCCCATGGTCCATTGTGAGTTAAGTGTTCCTTGATGAGCCATTTAATTTGAATAGTCCCTTCAAGATAAAATAAAATAAAATTTAAATTAATGGAGATATCCCATCTTCTAGAACTGGAAGGGACCTTGAAAGGTCAATAGAGTCCAGCCCCCTGCCTTCACTAGCAGGACCAAGTACTGATTTTTCCCCAGATCCCTAAATGGCCCCTCAAGGATTGAACTCTCAACCCTGGGTTTAGCAGGCCAATGCTCAAACCACTGAGCTATCCCTCCCCCCCAAATGTACAGGCTAAATAAATTGTGGGTGTTACCTCAGGAGCAAACTTTGAAATTCAGGTATAGAGCCAATACTCATAACTTCAACTACAAAAATGATACATGTATACAAATAGCATAATTATATTCAGTGAATCATAACCTTTCCATAGACATCT